GTGTTGCCCTCCATGTTTTGAGTTGGAGTGGATTGTGTCTTTCATACATGAAATGTTTCATCATCTCCTCCCACTCTTAGCTTTACCGTGCCCGCTTGTACATCAATGACGGCTGCGGAGGTGGCCAAAAATGAACTCCCAAGGATGACGGGGATCTCCATCTCTTCCATGTCCAAAACAAGAAAATCTATCGGGAAGTAGAATTTTCCAACTTTGACAAGAACATCCTCCATGATGCCTATTGGATAGCGGATTGTTCTGTCCGCTAATTGTAAGGAGACCGTTGTTGGTTGGAGTTCCCCCACACTTAGCTTTTTAAATAGGGAATAGGGTATACGATTTATGCTAGCACCACGGTCACAAAGAGACCTTACCTCCCTGATTTTTCCAATACAGCATGGGATAGTGAAGCTTCCGGGGTCTTTTAGTTTTGGAGGAAGTTTGTTTTGAATAATGGCACTACACTCCTCCGTTAGTGCCACTGTTGTGAATTACTCTAACCTCTTTTTGTTGGAGATGATACCTTTAAGAAATTTTGCATATGATGGAATCTCCGCAATGGCCTCCGCAAAAGGTATGTTGATGCTCAATTTCTTGAAAATATCAAGAAATTTCTTGTACTTCTTGTCATCTTCTTTCTTCTTCAATTTTTGTGGATAGGGGATGTGAGGAACATATTGAGCCATGATAGGTGGTAATGGTGTATGTGCAACCTCTTCTTGCCCCTCCGATGTACTTCTCCTCTCGTGCATCTTGGGGTCCTCTGTTTGCCTTCCCACTTCTTGTGGTAATAGCCATGACGCTCTCTCTTGGATTGATTTCCGTTGTTGTGGGAAACCGTCCCTGCTCTCTAGTTCTTTTTTCTTGGGCAATTTGACCAATTTGAATCTTCAAGTTGTGAATAGATGACATGGTGTATTGTTCTATGTTGTCCATGCGTTGATGAAGTTTTTGATTTTGATCTTCAAACCGTAGATCAAGCTTTGTGAATTGAGAGTGGAGATTCCCAATGGATGCCTACAATATACTATGATTCTCCTCATTTTGGGATTTCACACTAGCCACAATATTTTGTGTGAGGGGTTTCATCATCTCCTCCATTGTTTGCCCTTGTGAAAAAACGGATGGAGGATTAGAAAGACCTCCTTGTGGTTTCCAAGAGTTACCTTGGTTCCACCTTTGTTGATTTTTGGTGTAGTTGTTGCTTCCTTGATCCCCCCTATTCCCATATGAGTTCATATAATTCACATCTTCAAGAGTTTGAGGTGAATTACCTTCCGGGTGTGTTATGCTCTCCACACTGGCCACTTGATTGGCTCCTCCAATCACGGCTTGTAGAGCCGTGTGAATAGAAGCTTGAAGATTCTTGTGCATGGCTTGTTGAAAATCAGCAAACCGTTTGTCCAATTCATGAGCTATGGAAACCTCACTCACACCGGTCACTTTGATATCTCCTCCGTGTAATTGAGGATTTGAAGCAATGGATTCGAGGATTCTCAATGCTCCCGTTTCAGTTTTGTTACCAATATAACCTTCTGCACGGTTATCTACAATGGATTGGCATGAAGAGTTCAAGCCATTGTAGAATGTGTCAATTTGAAGATCAAGAGAAATGCGGTGATGTGGGCATTCCTTCAACAACGCCTTAAAACACCTCCATGCGTCTTGGAATAGTTCTCCAACTTGTTGTTTGAAGTTGAAGATCTGTTGCCTTAGCTCTTGAGTCATCATGGATGTGTAATACTTAGAAATGAAAACATTATAGATACCTTCCCACGTTGTGTAGATCGCCGGTGCTTGCTCCAAAAACCATCCCCTTGCAACCCCTTTCAAAGTATAGGGAAACCTTTTGAGTTTGAGGTCGTCCTCGGTGAGACCATGCCTAGGAATTCCTTGGATGAATCCATAGAACTCGGTGATGAAGTTAAGTGGATTCTCCCCCGGAAGACCATGATATTGAGGCATAGCATTGAAGTAGCTATTCTTCATTTCATAGTCCCTTGCTGCCTCGCTTAGGGCAATACATGAGGGAGTGGCGGCAACCACGGGCCTCTTCCTTTCATTGAGTGTTGGCATCATGTTTGCTTCTTTTCTTTCCTTCCGGATGTGTTTGAAAGTTCTTTCTTTTTCAAGATAAATAGGTTCAATATGTTTAGAACCTTGACTTCTCAAATGCATTCAAACACAAAGGATAGGCTACACACATGAAATAAAAAATACCACAAGAATAAGTAAAACGCAATGGGAAATAAAAACATTCAGGATTTTTTATTGATTGATTATTTTTTTTATCTTTGGACTTTATTAAACTAGACCGTTTCCCCGGAAACTGCGCCAAAAACTAGACCGGGCTAAACTAGCAAGTGTACAAGTGCCGATATAGTAATAAATTCCGGTAAAATACCGGGTCGAATCCACAAGGAAACGTTGTTTAATTTAGTCCGTGAGTAGATAACTTTAAATGAAGAAATGAGTAAAGTGCAAGGATTTTGATTTGTGTGTTATATTTTTGGTTTTTCACTTTTCATTCAAGAAGATAATCATTAACTAATTTTGAGTTTAAGATGAATAATAACAACAACTAAGGCTTCGGGAATCACTTAAATGCTTTAATAGGGTTGAATATTAGTTCCGTTACGGTTTACATTCATCTACCGAAACCCCCGTTGAATATCAAGACATCACACCCGTATCATGCAAGACCAGATATATTTCTATTCTCGGTACTATATATGTTTATCCTTTAATGTTCATAGTTTAGACTTCAACGTTAATTGCAAGTATAAACTAAATTTAACATACTTCTATGTTGTACACCATAGTCATAAACAATCAATATATAAAGGATAAATCACAATTTATTGGTTTAGAACTTTTATCAAACACCTAGTGGGCATAAAAGTTCATCCCTAGCCTTAGCTAAGAATATAGCTACTAATGCTCATATTAATTACAAAAGTGTAACTAAGAACAAGGAAATATAATAACATACAAGAAAACTTACCTAGAATCAATTGTAGAGGAGAAAAATGGCTCCTTCTCAAAAGAACTTGAAGAACAATGGCAAAAACAAATATAAAAACTAGGAATTAATCTATGGAATGGAATGTGTTTGTATGATGAATTGAGGGCTTTATATAGGCTAAAGAATGACATCTTTTAGTCTATTCGAACCCAACAATGAGGTATGGAAGCAATATTTGATTAGCATTGAGGAAGATGGGGTTTTCCCATCAAGAGTCAGCTTGCACGATGCTGTGTTTTAGCAGAAAATCGACCCAACCGGCGCCGGTTGGTCAGGTGACCGGATCCGGTTGAAAACAGGCTCATTTGTACTAGAAAAAACGTTCCGATCGGCGCCGGTTCAAGACTGACCGGCGCCGGTTGCTGCGCCCAAAAATGTACTTCATTTCTCTTCCTCCAAAATGAATAAAAAAGTGTCGTTTTTTGTACCGGGCTTTTGGGGATTTTCCGCTACGAAGTTGGATATGATTCCTTCACAAAAGTTGTAGATAATGAAGTCTTCTATCCACCAAAACTTGAATGACGTGTTTTTATACATCTAATCAAGCGTTATGAATAAAACACTGAGAGGTATGCATCCTGAAATCCCACCAGGGACATCTGACTTTATTTGTTGATTGAGTCTTGTTACTTTCATATTATGGTCATGACGTCTTCATAACATTTGTACCTTATTAAGTTAACATTCACATGAAATTCGAATCGAGTGATTTCGTGTTCTATACAATAAGTTATACTCGAATTATGGACAGAACGTCATCCTCTTGGTCCAAAAAGCTCTTCATCGCAATGGTTTATGCTCTAACTCTCATTCTCAAGATGTTTTCCCAATTTCTCTTCTTTTCATCAACAAATACTTATAAATACTTATGTTAAACACAAGTAAATATAACGGCTATCAGTTTCATTATTAGCTCAAGTCATATTTTACCGGGCGTTGGATCGAGTTTGGTATTTTTGGAGTCAAACTCAGGGAGCTTAAGTCTGGCACCGGCATTTGAGAAGCAATCTTGACAAGGAAAGATGAATTTGAGAGTGAATTTAGAGCTTCGGAGGTCAACGAGAGGCTTACGATGAAGATTTGTAGACAAAAGAGCTCTGGGATTGGGTACGAGATCAAAAGTAATAATATCGCGATGTATAAATGGGTCAAACATACCTTTAACACGCTACCCTTAATCATGGATGTTAAACAAGCAGTCAAACCACTACCGAACTTGACTCTGATATCATATTAAACATCCTAAAAAGTCCCGTTTGAAAGAGTGGTCGAAAGCCTTGAAATGTTTTCTTTTTGACTGAAATTTGCTAGTCTGATCTGATCTGGTTTGATCTGATCTAGTCTGAACTGATCTAGTCTAGTAAATGTCTGATCTCTGTGTATTTTATAACTATGAAAGTTTGGTCTGGTCTAATCTGGTGTGATTTGATCTGATCTGGTTTCGTGGGACCAAAAATAATTCAAAAGAAAACATGTTCATACATAGTATGATTTTTATTGTATTGTAGCTTTCTCCTATGGGATAAATATTTTAACCATTATATATAGAACAAAATGCCTCTATCAGACATGACATCGAGAACAAAATGGCTCAGTCATCTTCTCCAACTCAAATCTCTGCAACAAGATGTCCGGTGAACCTTCACCCTTGATTCAGCAAAATATTGCAAAAATACCCGGCTGCACGGCGCGTGCCCCAGCTGTAGGATGTATTTTACATAGCTGTCCAAATTGCCGGCCAAAGTGTGCTGCCAACAACATATATGCTTTTCTCTCTCAATATTAAATACGGAGTATATAGATTAGCTGTCCAAATTGCCGGCCAAAGTGTGCTGCCAACAACATATATGCGTTTCTCTCTCAAAATTAATACTGAATTCATATTTTCATCCGATTGAATAATTTTCAAACTCCAAACGAGTAAATGGCATTTAATGCAAAGGAAATGATGCATCATATATTTCTTGGTATTTAGCAAACGTTGAACTTAATTTGTGAGATAAAAAATTAGATAGAACATACGTATATAATTCAGTCGATCTAAGTGAAGCTGTAAAAAGAAACAAGATCGATCGCAAAAGAAAACCACACCATGGCTTTCCCATCCAAAATCTGCACATTTCTGTACTTGACCGTCGCATTACTGTCTGAACCATCCTCAGCCAAAATAATCAAGAGAATTTATGCATTTGGTGACTCTTTCACGGACACCGGAAACACCCACTCCGCCACCGGCCCCAGCTCCTTCACTTACGTTTCAAACCCGCCCTACGGCCGAACCTTCTTCCACCGCCCCACCAACCGATACTCCGACGGCCGCCTCGTGATCGACTTCGTCACCCAAGCTCTCTCCCTCCCCTTCTTGCCGCCGTACCTCAACCCCAATGCCGATAGATCTTACGGTGTCAACTTCGCCGTCGGTGGCTCCACTGCCATAGATCACAGGTTCCTTTGCCTCATCTCCGCTGCTTCAATCAATCTTTTATTTAAATCTTATGCTTCTAATCTACGTAATTAAATAGCTAGCTAGGAACCCATAATCGGTTATGTCAATTCCGGGGTCTTCCAATATGCTTTGTGCATCAGTACACTGACTCTTTTGCCATAGATCGAGCTAGGCTATTCATCAAAATACAGACAATTTAGTAATTGTACCTGCAACATTTTATTTTTAGAGGATCCTAAGCCTATATCAATTCAGCTACAACAAATAAAGCAGAATGAAAAAAAATCTTAGGAGATAAAGGAAGGAGCAAGAGAGCAAATATTCATATAAGAAATCTAATTTTGTATCACACCGAGTTGGGTAGGGGTGACCAATTCGGTTTCTGTTCCGGTTCAATTTCGCTTTATTCGGCTTGTGATATATGATACCAACTTAAACCATTTGTGTTTCGGTTTGGTTCCATTTCAGTTTGGTACAATTCAATTTGGTTTGAAGTTCTGATTACCAAAGTGAAAATTATTATATATGTTCAATTTAATTCGGTTTCATATGGTTATTATTTTATTAATTCTATATTTTTGAAATAGAAAATAAAAATAGTAGGTCATCTCATCTTCTTGTACGTGGTATTTATTATTTAAATAAAATGTGTAGCAAAAAAAGATAAAAAATAATCATTTTAGATATATATCCAATCGAGCGGCCTCAAAACTATTATAAACACATCCATTTCCTTACCATTTTAGACATCCGATATTCCTCGTCTTAAAGCTCAGTTAGGTTAATAATTCTCATATATTTATAGCATGTTTAGACTCAAAATGATAAGCTAAACTCATTTATATTTTGATTTTGCTATCTTGAAGTTTGTTGAATATTAAAGTTGTGAGTTATTTTCTTGAACTTTTCTTCCTGAGTATTAATTCTTCCATACTCATATTAATGTTGGAGTGTTGTTAAGTGATGACTAGTTAACACTTTAACATTAATTACTATTCCCTCCATTCATAAATAAACATCCAACTTTCCTTTTTGGTCTCTCTTAAAAATGTCCTCTTTCCTTATTTGGTAAACAAAACAATGCAAAACAATGTCAAACAATATCCATACAACGCCATTTTCTTAAATTGTGTGAAAGTAAAACAGGACCTTTTAAATTGGGACAAAGGGAGTATTAGAAACGATCAATGAACCGGCGATAAATTATTCATTATTTTATAAGATGGTAACTTCGTGTTATTGATGTATAGTCTCATAGTTAATAATCTAAAGAAAGATTTATTGTGTTGATTGAATTGAAATCGGTGTGTTGAGGTTATCAATCTTAATTGATTTGTCATCAATAAGTTAAGATACTATAAAGTCAGTATATGATGAAGTTTTATACTTGGTAATTAATAGTAAGAGTATTAATAACAGTCTTGTTGTTAGTAGTTATCCTTGATGAATTGGAGATACTCTAGGATTAAGTATTCAAGATAGGATAGTTAAAGAAATAAGAGAAAATGGAAACTTATAATCCAACCTTTTAGCGGTTTTCTTACAATAGTTCTCACCTTTTGATTTTTCGGGAATAATCCAATCTTTGCACCCGATCTTCATTCAATGGTCCCTAACCAGTAGATAACATGTTATTCCAAGTTATTTTCTTATCTTCGCTAAACATTATGTGACCATAAGGTGAGATTTATGGCATAATATATTGCAAAGATAAGAAAATAACTTGAAATAGCAGGTCATCAACTGGTCAGGGACCATTGAATGAAGATGACGTGCAAAAATTGAATTATTCCTGAATAATCAAAAGGTGGAACTATTGTAAGAAGATCGCTAACATGTTGGATTATTAGTTTCCATTTTCCCAAGAAATAATTGGGATCAATAAACATTTCAATAAGTGGAAAATGATAAAATCAAGTCTTTATCACAATGATCACATGATTCAATCATCTTAGTGTTTAAAACAATTCTCATGGAATTCTTAAAACCAAAACCCCCCTTTGTTTACTTTATTTGAAACGTTACACACATTATAAGTTTATTCTTTTTCCTATAGATACGAACTCGACTACGCTATACTACTATAGTTATGACTAGAGGTGAGATTTATTTTGAGCCACACGTGACTTTAGTGCCATCAGTCATCAGACATCTATATTATCTCATTTTCAGTTGCATAATAAGTATATAGGAAAAAGTACACAAAATATACTTGTGGTTGGGCCCATTTTCAGATAGGGTCATGTGTTTCATTTTTTATCAAAGTGGTTCATGTGTTTGAATTCCATTATCACAAGAGGGTCACGCCGTTAAAAACGTCTGAGAAAGACGGTTAATAGTAACTCTGATTTTAAAAGTGTCCAAAAAATATATTAAAAGAAAAACACTTAAAGGTGCGCCTCGTTAAGATGACCTCCAAACCACCTTCGCCTTTGGATTTTTCGGATATGTTTGAATTGTTTTTTAAAAATGATTTCACTAATATCACTTTCCCGGTGGACTTTCCGGTGACAAGGGTGGCTGGAAACAATCAAGAAAGATGGCCTAGCGATCCTCTTGTTGAGGCGCACCTTCCGATATTTTTCTTTAATTTTTTGGGGACTTTTGAAAACCGGAGTTACTATTAACCGTCTTTCTCAGACGTTTTTAATGGTGTGATCCTCTGGTGATAACGAAATTGAAACACATGTACCACTTTGATACAAAATGAAACACGTGACCCTATCTGAAAATGGGCCTAACCACAAGTACCTTTTTCGTACTTTTCCCAAGTATATATTATGAGGGTGTTTGGAATTGATTCTGCTACTTCTTCTTTTTTAAAGCAAAAGCAGAATCAGTTTTCAGAAGCTGGTCTCCCCTAACTTCTAAAAAAACTGATTTTAGGAGTAAATTAGAGCATGGGAAGTGTTGGGTGTGTTTCGGAAAATAAAGAAAATTAATTAAAATAAATTAATTAAATAAAATGACTAGAGAAAAACAAGAAAGGAGATGAAGCAGAATTAGCCAAAGCTCGTGCTACGCACGATTTCCTTAAAACGTATTTGTTGCCTCCCACGGTGCTAGGAGCGTTGCAACAATCGTTTCCCAGGATACGATGACTACGAACTAATGTTTGAGCACACAAACAAGAGTTCCAGTGAACGAGAACCAAGTATGAACACAGAGGAAATTTGGGAGTAGCTGGAAGAGTTTTTAGCTCAAGAAAACGTGAGGAAAGTGTTGTGCGTTGTCAAACCGTGTGTTTGTTGTAAAGCACCTGCCAGCTATTTATAGGAGGATTTGTTGTGTGTTAAATGGGGGTGTTAATGGACCTGAATGTTGGACATCAATGACCAGTCCGTTGGGCATTGAATCGTCCATAAACTGTCCATTTAACGCAGCATTAAAAGAGAAGAACGTTGGGTATTAATTGTTGTAACGGAAGAAGTGCGCGACAGAAGACCCCAACAGAACTCCCCTCGGAGGGTTTCTGTCCGAAGCCAACAGAACTCCCCTCGGAGGGTTTCTGTCCGAAGCCAACAGAACTCCCCTCGGAGGGTTTCTGTCTTGAGAGATAGATTTTTGGACGGCATTCGTGTCCGCAGGTCGCCCGCGCACACGAGTCGCGGTTTTTCTTCTCCGTTTCGGGATTTGATCGGCACCCCCCCCCCCCCCCCCCCCGCGCGCGTAAGAGAGAGCCTTTCCCTTTAGGAATCTTAACTCCTTAAAAGAGGCTTCCCTTTATAAGGGGGTGAAAATCCCTTGAGTTTTTCGGTGTGGGATAAAACACACTAGAAACTCATCATTTTTCCCAGTTTTTCCATTTCAACGAGTGAACTTCGAGAATCAATTTCTCATTCACCCGTTATCCGTTTTGAGTGTACCACATATCGAATTGTAGCCCTTAACAAGGGCAATCCGAAACCACTTTGACCCGACCCAAATCGGAAGTGGACCCCACTCAAATAATTGCCCCAAAATGACCATTTAATGCAATTTTTAACACGTTTTTCCAACAATCCCCCACATGAATGAAAATTGATTTTCGAGACTTAAAAAGACACGAAGATAGGAGGACACGTTGTGTTCACCGGATGATCCTTGCATACGGAGAGGTAGGTTTTATCCTTTGAACCTTCCGTTGTAAAGACACGTTTATTTACTGGCTGTCTAGTAGACTCGATGTCCTTGAACTATACTGCCGTCGTGTAAACATTGACATATCTTTACACAAGAACCATCCAACTTTGTTCCGTTCTCATGGGTGTGCCCGTTTTGGCCATGGGTCACCGTCCTGGTTCTGCAAGAGTTTCTAAAGAACTGAGCCTTTACAGTTCTCCTTTGAAGCGGCCCTCTTCTCTCTCACATAGGTGATTCTTTCACGAGTATCCCGCATACTCTTCCAATGTTATCGAGTAGATCAACATTTTAGAATCATTAAAGCAAACGTTTTTTTTTTGCTAACCTCGTGCGGGAGTCACTGTTTTAACGAGGAGTGGGTAGGAGTCCGGGACCCCCACAATGACCATCCTTCGCTCTATAATTTAGTTGTCCCTTTTGAACCTAGGACCAACTAGGTTGGGTATCCACTATAGAACTTTTCAATTCACGGGCTTTAGTCCCATTCCTCGTGACAACTTCTCCAACAATTCTCTATCCAATGCCTTGGTTAGCGGATCCGCTATGTTATCCTTTGACTTCACGTAGTCAACAGTGATAACATCCGTTGTGAGGAGTTGTTTAATGGTGTTATGTCTACGACGAACGTGTCTAGACTTACCATTGTAGAGATTGCTCTGTGCCCTTCCAATTGCCGCTTGACAATCGCAATGTATGCATATTGGAGGGACAGGCTTCTCCCAACTTGGAATATCCTCGAGAAAATGGCGTAGCCATTCAGCCTCTTCAGTGCACTTATCCAAGGCTATTAGCTCAGATTCCATCGTGGATCTAGCTATTAACGTTTGTTTCGAGGATTTCCATGACACGGCTGCACCTCCCAAAGTGAAAACATATCCACTTGTGGACTTAGAGTCCTTTATGTCGGATATCCAACTAGCATCGCTATACCCTTCAAGTACAGCTGGATATCTTCCATAGTGCAGTTCAAGGTTTTGGGTTTTACGTAAATACCTCAAAACCCGTATTATTGCCTTCCAGTGTTCATCACCGGGGTTGCTAGTATATCTACTTAGCTTACTAACCACAAAGGCAATATCAGGCCTGGTACAACTCATTAGATACATCAAACTTCCAATAATCCTAGCGTATTCTACTTGAGAAATACACTCTCCACGATTTTTGGTAAGATGAGTGT